CATGGCTTCACCATAACTACATCATTGCCTCGAAACCACATGTCAACGAGAGCAACTGGTCTAGCAAAATCCTCTTATAGTGCCGAGGCAACGGGAATGTTGGGAGGGAAGAGGCTGACTATCCACGAAAGACGATTGCTACCACATCAGCTCTACATTAATGAGACATGCCGCATCATCACGGGGTTCTGCACCCTACACCACTGGAGAAATTACACTGTCCAGCTGGTATTGCACCACCTGACATCTGCCGGGAAGTAGCAGCCAATAGTGAAAGGACCAAGGTAGTGACATCTCCAGCTCATCCCTTGTTTGGGTATCAGCCAGCATGTCAATGATTTAAATCAAGAAATAGTTTTCTAAGATCTACAGAGAAACTTGCTGGAACACCTCAGCAAGCGAGAGTCCAAAAGTGGCATGCTAAAACCCAGAACCTCAATCAATGGCTGATACCAAATGAGAGACTCTCTCCTTGGCACACAGAGGACTGGGCGACTTGGAAGGCGCTGAACAGACTGCGCTCTGGCACCATGAGATGCAGAGCCAACCTTATGAAATGGGGCTACAAAGTGGAATCCACGACATGCGAGTGCGGAGAGGAACAAACCACTGACCACCTGCTGCAATGCACCCTGAGCCCTGAGCCCATGCACAATGGAGGACCTTCTTGCGGCAACACCAGAAGCACTCCAAGTGGCCAGATACTGGTCAAAGGACATTTAATCAACTACCAAGCTTGCAAACTTTGTGTTTTGTCTGTTTGTTTTTTTGTTTTGTTAAAAATGTAATACAAATGTCTGATTGCTCCTGACACGATAAATAAATAGCTCTACATTATTAAATATGGCTTTCTGTGGGTGGGTAGATGGCAACTACTGGATGGCATATGTTCTGTATCAGAACTAGAGCTGATGTGGTCTATCCAATGCCATTTTCTGAATCAGCACCCCAAATAACCAAACTGAATCCAAAGTTGACCAAAAACTGATTTGTAACTCATTTGGTAACCCATTTGGTGAGTGGTCCCTGGTCAAGTGGTCCTTGATCAAGTGGTTCCTGGTCAAACAAAGGTTGGGAACCACTGGTTTAAGGCATTTATTTACCAAGGCAATGCACAATAGGAAAAACATTGAAATATTAAATAAATAACTGAAAGCCAAGGAAAACACTAAAGGCCTCTCTTTTAAAACAATAGCTCTAAAAACAGCTTTAAAAACAATTAGAGCAAATATCCCTGATTTTAAGATGAACTCAACAAGTTTTATCCAGAATGCCTCTTCTTCTGTTTAGCAAAGACTGGGGGGGTGCATCTACACTGTAGGATTAATGCAGTTTGGCACCACTTTAATAGCCATCACTCAGTGCTATGAAATGACCAGAGTTGTTTTGTACATCCCTTTCATCTTCTCTGCCAAAGAGGGCTGGTGCCTCACCACATTGCATATCCCTAGATTCTATAGCATTGAACCAAGAAAAGTTAAAGTGGTAACAAAGTGCATGAATTCCGCAGTACAGATGTACTCTGAAACTCTATCTATCTCTCTATCTCTCTATCTATCTATCTATCTATCTATCTATCTATCTATCTATCTATCTATCTATCTTTTGCCCCTGAGAAGGAGAGGCCTGGAGAAATGCTCTGCTGTTCACTTTGCTGCTTGGTCAGTCTTCATCTCTGTCCCTTTCTTGCTGAGCCTGCTAATTAGTTTTAATTGGGTCGGTTTGTATTTGGGGCCTGTCAGGTGCCATAATTATTATACCCCCTGAACCTGGCCTCATGTAAGAAAATGAAAAAAGTGTGGCAGGAAATTGAGAGTACTGTGGGCTTAATCCGGTGCCCACGTGTGTGAAAAAGGATGACTGGCGGGGCCAGGCTGGTTCCAGCATGCTAAAAATATACTTCTTTCTCTGGACCTTAGAAAAATTGTTCTTTTGGGTGCATCTACACTGTAGAATTAATGCAGTTTAAGATCACTTTAACTGCCATGGCCCAGTCCTATTGAATCCTAGTAGATTGTGAGGCACCAGCACTCTTTAGGGGAGAAGGCAAAAGAAGCTTGCAAAACTACAATTGCCATGATTCCATACACTGAATCATAGCAGTTCAAGTAGTGTCAAACTGTGTTAATTCTGCAGTGTAGATGCACCTCAGATCACATCCTGATCTCACTGAATATCAGAAGCTGAATAGAGTCAACATTGTATTGTCGAAGGCTTTCATGGCTGGAATCACTAGGTTCTTGTGGGGTTTTTCGGGCTATAGGGCCATGTTCTAGAGGCATTTCTCCTGACGTTTCGCCTGCAGCTATAGCAAGCATCCTCAGAGGTAGTGAGGTCTGTTGGAATTAGGACAATGGGTTTATATATCTGTGGAATGGGGCAAAGAGCTCTTCTCTGCTGGAGCTAGGTGTGAATGTTTCAATGCAGCTGTGAACAAGTCTACATAGGGACCACCAAACGCAGCATTGCCCAAACACGAATCAAGAAACATAAAAGGCACTGCAGACTACTCCAACCAGAGAAGTCAGCCATAGCAGAGCACCTGATGACCAACCTGGACACAGCATATTATTTGAGAACACAGAAATGCTGGACCACACCAACAACCACCATGTCAGACTACACAGAGAAGCCATTGAAATCCACAAGCATGTGGACAATTTCAACAGAAAGGAAGAGACCATGAAAATGAACAAAATCTGGCTACCAGTATTAAAAAACTCTAAAATTACAACAGCAAAACAGCAGAGAGGAAACAACCAGGCACATCTTAACACCTCTCAATGAAAGATTTTCCCAGGCTCCGCCAGGCCTTCAAATGCTAATGAAGGTGGTCAGTTGAAACATTCACACCTAGCTCCAGCAGAGAAGAGCTCTTTGCCCCACCCCAGCCATTCCACAGATATATAAACCCGTTGTCCTAATTCCAACAGACCTCACTACCTCTGAGGATGCTTGCCATAGATGCAGGAGAAACGTCAGGAGAAATGCCTCTAGAACATGGCCCTATAGCCCGAAAAAACCCACAAGAACCTAGAGTCAACACTGCTAAAACACATAATCAAAACACATATTAATTTAAAAACACGCCATAGAACACACATATTAAAACATATTTCCATAAAATATGTTTTAAAAGACATAAAACAAAAGTTTGACATAGAGTGGAAATTTAAAATTCGTCATTATAGTAAATAATAATAATAATAATAATAATACTTTATTTGTATCCCGCCCCATTTCCTTGAGAGGACTTACAACACAGTAACAGTGCAAACCATAAACAATAATTAAGATACACAACAAAATTAACCGAAATCATTAAAACTAGGGAAATAAATAGGAAGCAAATAAGAAAGGAGCAAAATTAGCATGCATCCTGAGTTAGACTTCATCACACCAGAGAATGAATCCACTTTAAATCTGGTTTCTGCCTCCCACAGAATTCTGGGGTTTGTTAGTTTAACAACCTCACAAAACTACAAAGCCCAGAATTCTGAGTAAGGCAGAAACCTAAAAAATGTGCCATTCATTTCATAGAATCATAGAGTTGGGAGAGACCTTGTGGAACATCCAGTCCCAACCCCATTCTGCCAAGAAGCAGGAAAATCACATTCAAAGCACCCCCAACAGATGGCCATCCAGCCTCTGCTTAAATGCCTCCAAAGACAGAGCCTCCACTACACTCCAGGGCAGAGAGTTCCACTGTTGAACAGATGTCACAGTTAGGAAGTTCTTCTTAGTGTTCAGGTGGAATCTTCTTTCCTGTAGTTTGAAGCCATTTTCCACGTCTTAGTCTCCAGGGCAGCAGAACACAAGCTTGCTCCTTCCTCTCTATGATTTCCCCTCACATATTTATTCATGAGAGAGTGGGTTAAACCGCTGAGCTGCTGAACTTGCTAACCGAAAGGTCACAGGTTTGAACCCAGGGAGAGGGGTGAGCTCCTGCTGTTCTGCCAAACTCGCAGTTTGAAAACATGCAAATATTAGTAGATCAATAGGTACCGCTCTGGTGGGAAGGTAATGTTGTTCCATGCAGCCATGCCAGCCACATGACCTTGGAGGCATCTACAGACAATGTCAGCTCTTTGGATTAGAAATAGAGATGAGCACCAGTCTGCAGAGTTGAACACGACTGGACTTAATGTCAGAGGAAAACCTTTCCCTTTACCTATTTATATATGACCCTCATCATATCCCCTCGCAGCCTTCTCTTCTGCAGACTAAACATGCCCAGCTCTTTAAGTCGCTCCTCATAGGGCTTATAGAATTATAGAATCATAAAGTTGTAAGAGACCTCATGGGCTATCCAGTTCAACCCCCTGCCAAGAAGCAGGAAAATTGCACTCAAAGCACCCCCGACAGATGGCCGCCCAGCCTCTGTTTAAAAGCTTCCAAAGAAAGAGCCTCCACCACACTCTGGGGCAGAGAGTTCCACTGCTGAACAGCTCTCACAGTCAGGAAGTTCTTCCTAATGTTCAGATGGAATCTCCCTTCTTGTAGTTTGAAGTTCTCCAGACCCTTGATCATTTTAGTTGCCCTCCTCTGGACAACAATTCTATGAGAGCATCTACACTGTGGAATTAAAGCAGTCTTATACTGCTTTAAATTCCTGGCTCAATGCATTGGAATTCTGGGAGTTGCAGTTCAGCCAGGTCTCTCTCCAGCTTCCTCTGTCAAAGAATGCAAGTCCTAGGATCCCATAGCCTTGAGCCTTGACCTTGTCAAGAAACTGCGTTAATTGCACAGTGTAGAATAGATGCAACTAGGAGGCAATTCCATATAAGGGATGCTCAAGCTGTTCTCCGATTGCAAATTTTGACTTTCTTCTAGGGAGGGAACCACAACTCCCAGCATCCTCCAGCCTCGCTGGGGCTTTTGGGAGTTGTAGTCTACTTGAGCCTGGCAAAAAAAATCCCTTCCTCTCCGGAGCCAGATCAGTTTCAGAGCAGATGTGGGGAGGAGGGAGAGGAAAAGAGGGGGGAGAAGGGGGAGGCGTTTGGGTTTTGCAACCGGTTCCTCCATCTGCTTCCTGGGGTTTGCTTTCGCTTCTCCCAGGGTCGCCTCCTTTCAGGTTGGCTTGGATGCCTTTACTTGCAAAAGGAGCCAAGGGAGCAGAGCCAAAGGAGAGAGAGAGAGTAAGCAATGCTGCAGATTCCACCCCAGGAGCATCTCTTTGTATATAGGGCTTGCTAAACGAGACTTTTTGCTTTGCATCCTTTAGCTTTGCTTCCTAAAAAGTGCAAGTGAAGGATGTCCTGCAAAGGTGGAAAAAGCCATGCTAATTGGGGGTTATTGGGAGGAGGGAGTGCATGGATCCATCCCATCTCATATTATTGAATTGATACTCCTTACTAAATAGCACTGTTTTCTTTGCATCGTACAGGTAACATATCTCTTGCAATAAGTATCATTATGGTATGGAATAACTTCTGACAGTGTTTACCTCTTCATTCTGATCTTATGAAGTCTAGAGAGAGTTTTGCAGAAATATACATTCTATATATTTTAAAATTATGAAGCTATAGGAACTTGTTTTTTTCTTCCAGAAATGGAAATGATTATGTATATTCATAAGCCAAGTTTTGACAGTCATTTTTAAATACTGTTTATATTTAATTCAGTTTTAATGTTTGCATATTTGTGTATTTAAATGGTATGCTAATGCTTTTATGTTACGCCACTTTGAATCTCCTTCAGGGAGATTTATTTATCATGTCATCCGCAACCAGAACATTGTATTACATTTCTAACAGAACAAAACAAACAAACAGATTTTAAAAAACACAATTTTTGCAAACTTGGTAGCTGATTAAATGTCCTTTGACCAGTATCTGGCCACTTGGAGTGCCTCTGGTGTTGCCGCAAGAAGGTCCTCCATTGTGCATGTGGCAGGGCTCAGGTAGCATTGCAGCAGGTGGTCAGTGGTTTACCCTTCTCCCCACTCGCATGTCGAGGATTCCACTTTGTAGCCCCATTTCTTGAGGTTGGCTCTGCATCTTGTGGTGCCAGAGCACAGTCTGTTCAGCGTCTTCCAAGTCGCCCAGTCTTCTGTGTGCCCAGGAGGGAGTCTCTCATCTGGTATCACCCACAGATTGAGGTGCTGGGTTTGAGCCTGCCACTTTTGGACTCTCGCTTGCTGAGGTGTTCCAGCGAGTGTCTCTGTAGATCTTAAGAAAACTATTTCTTGATTTAAGTCGTTGACGTGCTGGCTGATACCCAAACAAGGGATGAGCTGGAGATGTCTCTGCCTTGGTCCTTTCACTATTGGCTGCTACTTCCCGGCGGATGTCAGGTGGTGCAATACCGGCTAAGAAGTGTAATTTCTCCAGTGGTGTGGGGCGCAGGCATGTCTCATTAAGAGCCACATCCACTGTTTTAGTGTGGTGAGATGTGTTCCACACTGGAGCATGCGTACTCAGCAGCAGAGTAGCATAGCGCAAGGGCAGATGTCTTCACTGTATCTGGTTGTGATCCCCAGGTTGTGCCAGTCAGCTTTCGTATATAATAATAATAGTAAAGGTAAAGGTTTTCCCCTGACATTAAGTCCAGTCGTATCCAACTCTGGGGGTTGGTGCTTATCTCCATTTCTAAGCTGAAGAGCCAGTGTTGTTCTTAGACGCCTCCTAGGTCATGTGGCTAGCATGACTGCATGGATTGCTGTTACCTTCCCATCATAGCGGTGCCTATTGATCTACTCACATTTTGCATGTTTTCGAACTGCTAGGTTGGCAGAAGCTGGAGCTTACAGCGGGAGCACACTCCGCTCCTTGGATTTGAACCTGTGACCTTTTGGTCAGCAAGTTCAGCAGCTCAGCGGTTTAACCCACGATGCCACCGGGGGCTCCTAATAATAATAATAATAATAATAATAATAATAATAACAATAACTTTATTTTAATCCCATCCCTTCTCCAAACAGGACTTGGGGTAGCTTACAGAAAATAAATCACAGTACAAGACCAAAACAAAAATAGAACATACTGTATATACTTGAGTATAAGCTGACCTGAACATAAGCTGAGGCACCTAATTTTACTACAAAAAACTGGGGAAAATATATAGACTCGAGTATAAGCCGAGGGCGGGAAATGCATCAGCTACTGGTAAATTTCAAAATAAAAATAAATACCAATAAAATGACATTAATTGAAGCATCAAGAGGTTAGATGTTTTTAAATATTTACATAAAACTGTAATTTAAGATAATGCTGTTCAACACTGATTAAATCATTATTCTAACCTTCTTCAGTGTAAACGTGCTTGCTTACGTATCCTTCCAATAATCACTATACTTTATTTTGTCTATACATTTTGGGGGAAATGCTTTGTGTATATGAATAAGGAAAAGTGAGAAAGACTGATGCCAAGAGAAGAGGAAGGTGCGCACTGTGTAAAAAAAAGGAGGAGAGGAATGTGTGCACTGCACAACAGAAGAGAAAAGGAAGGAGAACTGGGTTGCTGTGCAGACAGGTGAGGGTCCTAGCAGGAAGGCGTGGGGCTGAAGCCCTTCTTTTAGCCCCACGCCTTCCCACCAGGATCCTCACCTAAGTATATGCTGAGGAGGGGCAGTTTTCCAGCCTAAAAAAGGGCTTCAAAACTAGGCTTATACTCGAGCATATACAGTAATACATAAACAACAATATCAAAAGCATAACAAACTAATAATAATAATAATAATAATAATAATAATAATAATAATAAGCTGTTGCAAGAAAATCGCACAAACGGACTACAAAGGCACAACTCTGTGGCCCAAATGATTCACTGGAACTAATGTCACAAGTACCACCTACCAGAACTGGTGGGATCATAAATCTGCAAACGTCGTGGAAGATGAACATGCAAAAATACTGTGGGACTTTCAGATCCAGACTGACAAAGTTTTGGAACACAATACACCAGGCATCACGATTGTGGAAAAGAAAAAGTTTGGATTAGTGATGTCGCCATACCAGGTGACAGTCACATTAAGGAAAAACAACAGAAAAAACTCAATCGTTATCAAGACCTCAATATCGAACTGCAAAGGCTCTGGCATAAACCAGTACAGTGGTCATTGGCACACTGGGTGCCATGCCAAAAGATCTCAGCCAGCATTTGGAAACAGTAAACACTGACAAAATCACAATCTGTCAACTGCAAAAGGCCACCTTACTTGGATCTGCACGCATTATTTGAAAATACATCACACAATCTGAAGGGTTCGACTTGTGATTTTGTGATACGAAATCCAGCATATAGATCTTGTTTGCTGTGACATACTGTGGTTTTGTGTCAGTAAAATAATAATAATAATAGGGCTGACCTCCATCCCCTTTTATTGAGGCCCCTTCCACACAGCTGTGTAAAATCCACATTGAACTGGATTATATGGCAGTGTGGACTCAGATAATCCAGTCCAAAGCAGATATTGTGGATCTGCCTTGATATTCAGGGTTATATGACTGTGTGGAAGGGCCCTGAGCTGGTCCCTCCCTTGATGAATGGCTTTTTCTATTCACATACAAATGTCAGTAGATATGTACCACTCTGGTGAAAAGGTAATGGTCCTCCATGCAGTCATGGTGACTACATGACCTTGGAGGTGTCTACCGACAATGCCAGCTCTTCACCTTAGAAATACAGATGAACACCAACCCCCAGAGTTAGACATGACTAGATTTAATGTTAAGGGGAAACCATTACTTTTACCTTTATCTCCCCAAAGGGACTCAGGGCGGTTTCCAACACATATGGCAAACATTCAGTGCTGGGGGATGGGGGGCATAATAACAAATTACATCAAAACAGTTAACATCAAATAAAATAGAACAGCCATTACTATAAACTTAATACCAAATAGAAATTAGCCAAAAAATAAAACTTGACAATAATGGCCCTTTGTTTGCATCCCTCTGTTTTATTTCCCCTTCTGTTGGTGGCATTGAAATTACAATAGAATGATGGTGCCTTGGAATAGAAGAAATACAGCAATTCCCTTTGCTTAGCATCTTCCTCTTTCATTTCCAGACAGCACAGGTGAAAGAGCTCCTGCAAAGTGAAGAAAGCCATGTTGATGTGGATGCGTTGCAGGATTGGGGCCCTTCGTCAGATCGGAGCCATTGGAGGGCAGCATGACCTCAGGTGCCCCCAGAAGAGAGGCTGCCATTCTGGGGGGACCCTCTCATCACCCCCCAAAATCACTGCATTGAAAAAGAGGGGCTATGACATCACACGGAACCCCCACCTCAATAAGGTCAGCCTACACCTCTTTCTGTTCCAAATTATTCTTTTTTGGGGTCTTCATAATCAGAGGGGGTATTTATTCATTTTATAACAGTTCCTTTAAGAAATTTTGAGCACTTTAAATATTTTACGTGTCTCTATATCAGACATGGGCAAACTTGGGCCATGCAGGGGTTTTGGACTTCAGCTCCCACAATTCCTAACAGTAGGCTGTTAGGAATTGTGGGAGTTGAAGTCCAAAACACCTGGACAGCCCAAGTTTGCCCATGCCTGTACGATATGTATCGCAACCTGTGTTACTAGTGTCATTTCCATTCTTCCACAACTGGAACTGATGGTAGCTTTGCAAATTAAAATACGTGAATCCATCACTCCATATCCACGGATTCTGCATCCATGAACTTCAGCATCCATACCTTGACATTTTAAAAGCAAAACAAAACAAAACAAAAAGCACACCATGGTGTTGTCTTTTTATTATAAGTTACACTATTTTACTACACCAATGTATATAATGGGACTTGAAAATGCATGGATTTTGGTGTCTGTGTTGGGATCCCAGAACCAAGCTCTAGTGGTTACCAAGGGCTTACTGCATAGACTTACTTCGTCTCTCTTGTCTCCTTTTATAATAATACAATAATAATATACTTCATTTATATTCCTCTCTATCTCCTTGAGGAGACTCAGAGTGGAATACATTATACACATATATAGGCAAACATTCAATGCCTTTTATACAGTGACATACAATACACAAACAAAAAGGAAAAGGTTTTCTTTTTCCATCTCTGGCGTCAGGAGGTGATGCTCAACTCTGACCATGGGGAGGTGCTCGTGTTCCATTTTTACATATTCAGGAATTTGTTGTCCATAGACACTCCTGGTTGTGTTTTGCCGGCATGGCTGTGTGGGTGCCATTACCTTCCCGCCTAAGCGATACCTATTGATCTACTCACATTACATGTTTTCAAACTGCTAGGTTGGCAGGACCTAGGGCTAACAGCAGGAGTTCACCCTGACCTGCAGCTTCGAACTGCTAACCTTCTATTCCGCAAGTGTTCCTGCAGCTAGCAGTTTAACCTGCTATGCTACCCCAGCCCCACATCTATGTAGTATATATTATACTATATAGATGTGTATAAAACAGTTGAAAGAATCAATTAACAACACTGTTGTCATGTAAAATCTACAGTACCATCTACCCTGAGCTCTTAAATCAGTTTCAAACGGGTATTGAAGAAAGCGGTTCCACAGTGTAGATGATAACATAGGAAATCCTAGAATCAGTTCAAGGCCTGTGGATAGTGATTACACAAACCACAACACACTAATGCGTATTAAGGCGCTTTTTGTTGTGTAAAGTAAAATAAACCACGTGTAGTTCATGTTTGATCAGTCCACACACTGCCTTGCAAGAGAAAGTAAATATGCCACACAGGTGAACAATAAAGAACAAGTAGTTTACTCTTCATAAACCCAGAACAACATATGTACAATATAATCAGTTGCATCAACTCACATAATGTCCTTTTATGAGAAATTTAAAATGGTCTTTCATTTGTCCATGTGGATAAACTCCTTAAGCAGCTCATGAAGGAAGAGTATACCTCAAAACCCATCTCTCTCTGTTTCTCTGAGCACCTGCATAGCTCAAGCCTGAACAAAAATGTAACAGTAACCAAAAGACACAGGCTCAGCCTGCTCCCCGGGCATTGCCTGAAAATCAGCTTCATGCATCATATTTTACAGTTGACACACACACTCACTGATTACTTGCATGCTCCAACACTTTTGTAGATGTTCGTTGTCTAGCTGCTGGAATTGCTTGCTTTAAACTGCATTAAATGGTCAGTGTAGATGGGGTCTTCATACCAGAAGAATTGCAATCAAGTCTCTATATCTATAGATTCAGCATCCATGGATTTCACCATCAATGACTTGGAAATGCTCCCAAAAAATCCAAAATGCATACCTTTATTTAGCCGTTATATATAAGAGCAACCTTTTTACTATGTCATTGTATATAATGAGACTTGAGCTTCCATGGATTTTGGTATCCGAAAGGGATTGTAGACCCTCTCAAGTTTTGCTTTGAAGTTAGGGAAAATATTTTTCAAACACTGAACTGCAGAGTATGTGGATGCAGAACCCATTGAAACAGAGGACCGACTGTGACTCAGTGGAAATGGATGAAAATCAGTTTCTGAGATGTTGCATGAATCTAGAATATGATTAGCGGGAAGAAGAAGAGGAGGATGAGAGGGAGAGTAGTTCAGAATAGTTCAAGAAAGAGTTTGGATGCAAACCTGGGAATATGCAGGTAAAATCAGAGCCCAAAGAACTGAACACTCTTGATACTTCTAAAAACTTTTATTTTCTGGATGAGCCAGTTCTCTATCTTTTTAAAGAAATGCAAGCCTTGCAAATGTATGATTGCGGAGTCAGCAGTTTTGTTTTATTTTTAAAAGAACGTGACTGGATACTGGCAGAACATTGACTTCCCAGTTCCATTTAAAATAAGTCTCTCCCCTGCAGTGTTTCAAAGCATTGCAGCAGATAATATGGGCTGTCAAAACCGAAAGCTTTGAGTGGGCTTTTCTCTTTCTTTTGAATCAAACTTTTCCTTATAAAAAAGGAGAAGAATCTAGCAGCACCTTTAAGATTGATTAACTAGTATATTTACCATGAGCTTTTGTCTACTTCCCCAGGTGCCCCGATAGAGTGAAATTAAAGCCATAGGTTTCTAAGCTTAGAAAGGTGAAGGTGAGGTAGTATGCAATAGGAGACGATGATGATGGAATAGAATATAAATAGAGTAAAGATGGTTGCAAACACTGGCCATAAATATTCAGAATTTTTTATTATAGATGAACTTTTGAGATATTAATAGGTATAAATATTAATTTATGTTAGCACAGCAGGCTAAACTGCTGTGCAGCAGAAAAATCCTGCAGATTGAAAGGTCAGCAGTTTGATCCCAGGTCGGGATAAGCACTCGCCGTTAGCCCCAGCTCGCCTGCCCACATAGAAGGTTGAAAGTAGAAATGTGAGTAGATAAATAGGTACTGCTTTTAGCAGGGAGGTAATAAAGGTGCCCTTAAGGACATTAATGGATTAGAGCAGTGGTTCTCAACCTGGGGTCCCCAGATGTTTTTGGCCTTCAACTCCCAGAAATCCTAACAGCTGGTAAACTGGTTGGGATTTCTGGGAGTCGTAGGCCAAAAACATCTGGGGACCCCAGGTTGAGAACCACTGGATTAGAGAAAGCTCCTCAGCATGGAAGATAGAACGACGGCACCCACCCATGGCTTGAGTCAAGCACAGCCTCCAAGATGCCAGAAATAAGATGGGAACAACTGCCTTTACCTCTGTGTTTGCCTATCCTTGTTACTTATATAATCGGCATTGAATGTTTGCCGGATGTGTGCACCCTGTAAGCCACTCTGAGTCCCTTTATTGTGTCCGACTCTGGGGGGTAGTGCTCATCTTCATTTCTAAGCCAAAGAGCCGGCGTTGTCCATAGCCACCTTCAAGGACATGTGGCTAGCATGACTGCATGGAGCGCCGTTATCTTCCCACTGGAGTGGTACCTATTAATCTACTCACATTTGCATGTTTTCAAACTGCTAGGTTGGCCGAAGCTGGGGAGCTCACTCCGCTCTGTGGATTCAAACTGCCAACCTTTCAGTCTGCATGTTCCGCAGCTCAGCGGTTTAACCTGCTGCACCACCGTGGCCCCAATAAATAAATAGGTATCATGAACTCGTAATCTTTGTTCATACTTTTGCTAATAAAGTATCCCATATCCAAAATGCTTAGGACTAGAAGTGTTTTGGATTTTTCAATTTTGAATTAGCTGTGTGTGTGTGTGTGTGTTTGCATGTATAATGAAATATCCTGGAGATGCGACCCAAATCTAAACAAAATTAATTTATATTTCATATACACCTTACATACATATTCTGCACATAATTTAGTACCAAGTTTTATGTACATTGAACTATTAGAAAGCAAAGATGTCCATCTTTCAAACTATCAAGTGGATGATTTTGGAATATTTTAGATTTCAGGGTTCCTTATAAGGAATGCAGGCTCTTTATACTCCAATTCATCAAGTTCTTTTCCAGCATTTCTTTGTGTATTTTGTGTTTTTAGTTCAGCACTTTCCAAACTACGTGTCGTGCCACTTTAGTGTGTCAAATGCAGTGTGTAGGTGTGTTGAACTAACTGAACGAGAAATGACAAAAATCTTGGAAATGTATGTTATCTTACAAATAATATATTTTTAATATATATATATATATAAATGGAAGGTTTTCCATATGTTGTACCTCATACATTTTGTTATTACAATTTATGTATATATCGGTATCTCCTACAAGGGGTTGTTTACTAGTAAGACTGAATTACTGTGTCATGAAATGATGCATGTCTAAAAAGTATGTCACTAACATGAACTGTTTTGAAAGCTCTGCTTTAGTTGTTGTTCAAGAGTCTTTGAGTATGTTTAAATTTATTGATATTCTACTCAAAGCTGCCAACTAAAGCTCATCTACACAAAACCAAATCAAACCAACAGTTTGCAGACTCTTTAAAGGAGCAGCATTTGACTTTGTTGGTAGGGATCCAAATTGACGTGAAAGTTCATCAATTTCAGAACTTTAATAACAGAGTTAATGACTGACAGTGAGTCTGTTTCTAAGCCCAGTTCAGTGTGTGCTGCTGGGGATTTATAAAGTCCTGCATGAATTTGAAAGGATTCAAAAGTTATCTTAGCGAATCCTCAGCTTGAGGAACAGAGGCTTTTCCTATATCAACAAAATCAGGATTGTCAGTGGAGCTGAACAACTGTTGTATTTTGAATGGGAGCCCCGTACTTTCTTTTCTGTCTCAGTGCCATGTTAGCAATGCACTCCAGCTATCAAAACTGTAGTTACTGAACAAACTCTTTTAGCTCCTTCTTTAAAAGAGGTTATGAGGAAGACAGGTGTGAATAATTTAATAGTA